ATTATTATTATTATTATTATTATTATTATTATTATTATTATTATTATAATTATTGTTATACTGACAACTAGGTTTTCCAGCGAAACAACAAAGACTAAAATGAAAAATGGGAAAGGACCAGAAGAATAGAAAACTAAATAAATCTGTCAAAGTGCTCTGATGACATATCCTGGTTTGACTAATTTGTCCTGAATCTTAAAAATAAACTATTTAAGGCTGCAGTAACAGCACTTCTTAATGTAGCACTTCACATCCTAACTGCTGTCTAAGCTGTTTATGGCAGCAATAATCTTTACAGCAGTCATTTGGTGGTTACAGGGCCCTAAAAGCAGTTCCTCAATTTAATCTGCCATAAACAACCAAATTACCGGAGTAGCTGTAGCCGCAGACGGCCTCGTGGCCAATGGGAGCATAAGAAGAGCCTCTGAGCGGCGGGTAGTTGTCGCTAGGGAGAGACAGCATGCGTCCCATCCTTGCACGGTTTCCATGGGAACACTCCTCATCTTCTACTTGCACCTGCCACATTAGATCAGCCACCTCCGTCACCATTACAGTCACCTCCACTTCCTTCAGCAGCATGCAGACGTGTGATCGGTCCTTGTTCGTTACCTGGACAGGTGTGTCTGCGTTTCCCACTGGGTCTCCACCTAGAGATGTGGAGTTGAGTTGCCGGGCAGCCTCCTCCCTCTCTCTCCTCTCCTCCATCTCCTCCAGCTGCGCCTCCTTGTTGCTCTCCTCCAGGTGCTTCATCAAGACGGCGACGACCACGTTGACGAGCACGAACTGAGCCGTGAGGACGAAGGTGACGAAGTAAACGGGCGAGATCAGGGGCAGGTAGCTGAGGCAGTGGCGGTCATGAGGGCGACACTCACGCAGTGTGTCCTGCACAAAGCCAGCCATTACAGAGGATTGAAATAATGAAGCAATTATAATGGATAACTGGATTAAGATTATCAATCCCAGCACTAATAAACTGTGCTTCCTCTCCTCTCCAACAGGAGGGGACGTTGAACCAAAGGTTAGTCAAGACACAGAAGAGTTAAAACACGTCATCATGCTTAATGCTTCTTCACTTCCATAGCCGACACACTGGGACGCACACTTTCCAGTTTATCCATCTTCTTAAAGGTTCTCAACAAGAACTAACCTTCATAATCCCATTCCAATTGTCCCCAGTGGACACTCTGAAGAGTGTGAGGAAAGCCATGCCAAAGTTGTCAAAGGTGGCGTGGCGACTAAGACCTTCACACGGGTTCTCATCTGAACACTCTAAAAAAAAAAAAAAGAGTAAAAAGAAGCATTAGAGGTGGTAAGAGTGAGGAATAAAAGGCAAGGAGGGAGAAAAAATAGAGCCGTTTGTAGATTAGAGCTCTGACTGACATAATTAACGCATGCAAGCCAACAGAATTTAATCTTGTTACGCAATCCACAAACAGAGGCAGACGTTCAGCATTGGTTTAAATGCATGCACACACAGTCACTCGCACATGCACGCCTGTGCACCTCGCGCACACACTAACCCAGTTTTCCAAAGAGCTCAACTCCCAGTGCTGCATAGATGAAGAACAGCAACATGAAGAGCAGACCCAGATTCCCCACCTAGACAGAGACACAGTACACGGACACACAGATATATACAGGGTATGATACACGGAAAAAGACTGACGTGAACAGCAAACATAGAGAGAAACACGAACGTGCAAACAGATAGAGAGAGCCCATAACACAGAGACTGCTAACCTTACTGTGCTGATAGTACTTCTTAAAAACTAACAGTACCCATCAAAAATAACATGGACTAAAGTAAGATCCAAATAAAAAAAACATACCGTATTTTTCAGAGTATAAGGTGCACTTAAAATCTTTTAATTTTATCAAAAATCAAGAGTGAGCCTTATAATCCAGTGCGCTTTTTGTATTCTTCTGGTTGTGCTTACTAACCTGGACCCGATTGTCTGTGGTACACAGCGTTCAAAAATCTGTTAAAATGAACTTGTTTCGCTTATAATCCGAAAAATACGGTAAGTGATATTTAGTAGCGTGAATCCAGCTCTGATGAATTTTAACCCTGCTTGTTCATTTTAAATTGAACACTACTCTGGGTACCACTTTACAGTAAGGCTCTCCTTATAGATGGCTAATAAATAGTTTATAGATACATTATTGATTCCTCTATAAAAGCTTTATAAATCATTAATAACTGCTTATTAGGCTTTAATTAAGGGTGACAACGAGACAAAACTAACCAGTTTCTTGCCAAATAGTGAGCCAAATCTGTTCATATATATTTCATCTGGAGTTGTTATATTAAACATTTCAGACTAAGTTACTACCTTTTAAGCACAATAAGCATTTGTAAACCTATTTTTTTAGCATATAATATTAGTTATCGATACTTATAATGCAGTGATAAAGGACAATATTATATCCTAAAAAAAATGTGGTTTACAAATGCTTATTGTGCTTACAACGTAATAATTTAGATCTTAAATAAACTTAGAACTTAACCTTAAATATTTAATAAAACAACTCTAGATGAAATATATAGGTGAACAGATTTGGCTCACTATTTGGCAGAAACTGATCAGTTTTGTCTCTCTTTCACCCTTAATTAATGCATAATAAGCTGTTATTAATGATTTATAAAGTGTTTATACAGGAATTAATAACATATCTATAACCTATTTATTAGCATATATAAGGGTAGCCTGGGGAGCCTTATTGTTAAGTGGTACCCATTGTACGTTATCACTGCATTATAAGTATCTATAGTTGTACATACTTATAATGCAGTGATAAAGTACAATACAATATCCTAAAAAAAATAGGTTTACAAATGGTTGTGATTAATAGCTATTAATGATTTATAAAGTGTTTATAGAGGAATTAATAACCTATCCATAAACTATTTATTAGCCGTCTATAAGGGGAGCCTTACTGTAAAGTGGTACTCTGCTCTGTGTGCTCTATCTCATAGTAGGAGGTATGAAGATGCCTGATCAAATGACGGATGAATCTATTGACAAAGTGCAGGAAAAAAGTCTCCTGGACACGACAGCACAGAACTGAGTTTGATCGCTTGCAGCAACAAGCCACTTCAAAGGAAGCTTTGCATGTGAGCAGGCAGGGACAGATCAGAGATAAATTACTCTCTGGATGTGTTGGATCACCTGCATGGACAGATACGGAGTCAAGGAAGGATGGAGCTCCACTAGTTCAGAAAATATATTAAAATCTTGGGGGGGGGGAAATGTTATAAGGAAACCTGTAAATGAGTTAAAATCACACCTCAAACAACTCTATAACCTGTGGAAAACAAACAGATATATAGTAAAGTGCAAACGTTTCAAACCACCTGTCATTTCTTTATGTCTGTCATCTCTTAAATCTGAAGGTCATTTGAAGGTTCTCTTTGAAGCTTCGGCTGCTTCTTCACTCCCTTCTTGTCCAAACTTTATGCAGAACACATACCTGATTATGTCATGAAATGGGGGCGCAGAATGTGGCAATTATTTTTATTGATTTATTTTTGTAACTAAGAAAGTAATATTAGTATCATGCTGGTGAAGATTCTCAGTATATAGTATATAGTAATATTAGTATCAATAAAAGCTGCCTGCTTTTGTTTGTTGCTGGTAGTGACAATGTTTTAAAGTAAAAAAAAATAGGGAGGGGTAAGAACACAAGTTTACTCCCCCATTTTAATTTAAAAAGGGGGAGAATATGCTTCATTTGCTCAGTTTATAGTTTTAGTTACTAAACTGCGTGTGCAAAAAAATCAGACACCATGCCCTCAAAAAGGGTCATAGCAATTTCATTCAGCTCTAATGTTTTGGTCCTTTACACCTGCTCTTTATTTACTTTTATGTACAAATGTATCTATACATTAGTTTTATTGGTAGTTTATATTGTGTTAGCTAAATGTCCTCTTCATGCAATGTTGCCAGATGTTAGAATAACTGAAAAACACAGCAGAAACATACATCATTTAGACCAGGGTTATTCAACTGGCGGCCCGGTTGCCAAATCAGGCCCATGGGTGAGCTCAGTTCGGCCCACCATTGGGTTCATTTTTAAATAAAAGTATACTTTAAACCATAAAACAAACTTATTGACAATAACTGCTGGATGTGTGGCCCCTGAGTTCTTGGGTTTCAGCAACTGTGGCCCCCTGAGCAGTTTAGCTGAATAGCCCTGGTTTAGTGTGGATTCATGCTAATCGTTGGTAAAAGTGAACTCAAAGATGAAACATCAAACTTAAAAAGCGTTTTAAATATTTTTTGTCAGATAAGAAAGCCTTAGTCAGTAATAGTAACAAATATACACAAAAAAACAATCAAAATGTGATAACTGGTAGTCGTTAAAGAACTAGAAGCAGACAAGAACCTTTCTTTACTCCACTGCATTGCAAAATATTGACTTTGAGCGTGCACATTAGTAACTGTAAAAAGATCACTTGAGCTGACTTCTATCCAGTACTGTACGAGCTGATCAATCAATCAATCTAAGCAACAAAGCCAACATGTTAGTCATACAACCATCTAAAATCTTGGAATTATTTGACCAAAACATGATATTAAATGCAAAATAATCCCTCAAATATATACGATTTATCCTCAAGAGAGCCTAAACCTCCATCCATCCATCCATTTTCTTTACCCGTTTATTCCATTTTGAGTCACGGGGGTCGCCGGTTCCCATGTCCAGCAATCACTGTGCGAGGGGCGGGGTACACCCTGGACAGGTCGCAAGTCCATCACAGGGCCACATAGAGACAAACGAGACAAACAACCATTCACTCTCTCACTCACACCTAGGGACAACTTTAGAGTTACCAATCAGACTAACATGCATGTTTTTGGTCTGTGGGAGGAAACCGGAGTACCCGGAGAAAACCCACGCATGCACGGAGAGAACATGCAAACTCCACCCAGAAAGGCCCCCGGACCGGGATTTGAACCAGGGACCTGCTCGCTGAGAGGCAGCAGCTCTACCAGTTGCGCCACCGAGCTGCCAGAACCTAAACCTTTAACATAAAAACCTTGTCACTTCTTAAGGTTTCTATCTACATAAAATAGTTCTTAAAATATTATCAGATTGTTACAGAAAAGCAGAAAACAGGAGTCCAATAATCGAGTAGAGCTTTTTTTTAACATTAGTTTAAATTGACGAGAAATCGGATTCACGTGTATGCTTTAAATAAACCACAGGCACTTATTAAATGCTGATCATATTTTATTTGTGAAACGTGGGGATGGGGTCATATTTGAATCACGAGTTTAATGCTTCTAT